TTCTCTTATTTGCGCTCTTTCTGTAAAGCAGGGATGAATAATACAAATCTATGAGAGAATAAAAGCTTTTATTCTCTTAAGCACAGGATATGTTTATATATATGTACATTCCCTATAGCCATTAGTTCCATCATTTAAATTAATATTCCACAAGGATATGTTTCTGACTTGCACTCAGACAATCTAAAGTTGTTTTGAGAGACGAGCCACTAATATTTTATTAAATGAACCGAGGCGTTAATACGTGCCTTTAAAAAAAAAAATGACTTTACCGCACTGAAAATAGTATATCTACCTATTTTAATAGCAACTAATTGCATTTGCCACATATAAATACGTACATACATACCACCCGTATATGAATGTTTCAAAACAGAAACTAAAAATATTCGCTATCCAACCTTGAGGTATGGTATCTTGTCATACGTAAAGCATGCATAAGGAAAACTATTATTTATGTATATTTTTTATTACCTAAATGAAAATGAGGATTCAAAAACGCGCAATATTTTCCCATTTAAACAATTAATTCCCTTGTGCATTTTCTTGAGCTTTAGCGAGAAGACAAAATATAACTAAAGTCAAAGCATTTTATTCCTCGCAGCTAATTCCAGCGCAATGCATTTCATTCCACTGCAATTGGCTGTTTAAAAGTGTCCTCAAAGCATTCATTTTACTCAGCTAAGCGTATGTCCTAATTATAAATACTTGACCTGATAACCTTGAGCCTCATACTGAACTTGTCACAAGAACACATATATACATACAAATGAACGTGCAAACCCAATGGAAATACCAGATGTAGAAAGAGAGGAATCTATGGGCCTGCAACAACAACAAGGCAACGTTTCCATACCTCCCTCAATAAGTACATAAAAGTTCTCTACGCAGAAGACGCAATGATATTTTTCGCAAGCTGAAAGAACATAAGCAAATAAATACGCACAGCAGTGGCAAGAACCTTCCTCATACTTACTTGTGCACCAACAAAAATAGTAACATTGCCTTAGCAGCAAATTGAAGTGGCTGCCTCTCAACTATTCATATGTACGCCCATCTATTTGGCCTAGCAGCATCAAACAGAAACAAGAACATACACACACACACACACACACACACACACGCAAACCAAATCCATAACCTTGTGGAAGGCCATGGAAAGACATCAGCAGAAGGACACAAGCGAAAAAGGTGAAAAAATATCAAGGAAAAATGCAAACAGGTTGCAAAAGCTCTTAATCGGGAGCAACGTGATAAATATGCAGGTGTGTGTGAAGAAACAGCAGAGTGAGAGAGAGAAAAAGCGCTGGAGCACCCAGCACAGTGTAGATAGCAATGAAGTCATCACTTCTTCCATACCGCACGCTCTTTTACAGCTCTCTTATCCTTCGAACAGCTGAAATTCCCTTCTCCTCTGCTGTCTGCCACAGTGTGTTCAGCCGAATTAGGTCAATTGAGCGCCACAAGGCGCATGAATTCTTTCGACAGCTTTGTTGACCTTCAAATTGTTGACATTTTTTTACTTACATACATACATACACATTGTTTGTGCAGACAACGCTGATGTGGATAAAATGAGGTGATTGCTGTCAAAAAAAAAATTTTTTTAAAAATTACACAGCATATTTGGATTTTCTATGAAAGTCCTAATATGTACATACATATGTATGTATGTAGGTACTTATGGAAATAAATTGGCCAGAAAGTTTATTTCAAACTAACCGACAAAGCATGCAGATAATCGCATTTGTGTTTTATGTTATGGAACATCGAGTGTTTTGTTAAGAGGAAATTACTTAACCTTTGTACTATTTTTTTTCTATAACGGTTCATTAAATATAACTAAATAGTGGTACATTAATGTGCGAAATTTAGCACAAGCTACTCCCCACACTTTTTTTTTGGGATCTATCATAAAGCACTCTGTTTAGGCGTTTACAGCATGCAGGTAAGAAAGTCATACGCGGACGACCTGGTCTTTGAGAACATGATCAAAAGAATGTGGACTTAATGCCAATACCGCAAAAACAGTCATAGCTTTCTTCGTGAGACAAACCAAATGTTCCCAAATATCCGCTTCCAACGGTGTAGCAATGCCACTTTCAAAGCGGGATGCTTCAGCGTCAACTTGCCCAGCATGTCGAATAAGACCGGTACTTAGTAGTATGTCTTCGATTAATAAAAAATTCCACCGACTGCATCGACGTTTTTAGGTTCTCAAATTTAACTACTCTGCATCTCAATCTTGGGAAAGAAATTTTCAACACGAATCCCTTCAAAGGACGATTGCGAAGTTCATTCGTTCTCGAGCCTACAATATATTCAGATCTATAGTCAAGAAAAAAATAAGAGAGTGCCCCATTTTCTACTTCATTTATTTTAGTAATTTAATATAGTACAATTTTTCAAAATTTCAAAATTTTTTCAGCAATAAACTTTCCAAAAATTTTTACTTGGATACCCATCTTGCTATATTTAATTTATCTTATTATTTAAATTGAATTAAAATTTTCAAACAGGTGGCAACCTTCCACAAAAAGTTTTTCGGTTGTAAGTCTTCTATTTCTTTTGGCTGCCAAATTGCAATGTTTTATTTATCTTATCAATTTAGATACTAAATTGCAATTTACATGCAGGTGGCAACTCTCTAATTTTTTTCTTTTATATTTTAACTTATTTTTTAAGCAATACATACTTCGATTCCATATATTAGTTTTCGAGAGTTGCGTTTGCTGTTTGTTGATTTGGCTTCTGTTGCTCTAATAAAGAAGGGGGGGAGGGGCCCCCTTAATAATATTTCTTTAGTATTTACAATGTACAGACATCGGTTTTTTACTATTTTATTTAATGTATAGATTATAAAAAATAGTAAACATTAAAAAAACAAAAGTCTTTGGACGTCAATGGAATACCCTGGAAATTTTCCTTTTTACCTTCTTACCTTCCTTTTATTAGCTCGGGATGTAACTATGTAATATTGATGCACCTAAAAGATGCAGCGATTTTTATTCTCAAGTTATATACCTGATGACAGTACGTATGGCAATTATAATAGGGAGGTTTTAGTGTTTTAAACTATAATTTTTTTGACTAAAATTTTGTAATTTTTGTAAATTCTAAACAAATAACATTATTTATCATAATCATTTTTGGAAGAATTCTAAGTATGCAGTTTTGTAAGCCATTAAATTTTAGAACAATAAGGTGCAAGTTTTTGGTAGTTAAGACTTATCCTTGAATTTTAACAATTTTCTTTGTTGAATGTGTTGCTCATCGAACATAATTTGTATGGAACAATATGCGTAACACCAACAATAAACAAAATCCAAAAATCAGCGATATTTTGTGGCGACTTTAGACTTACACTTTATTAGGTATACTAAATTTATAGGCCTACAAAACTGCGAACCCAGAATTTTCTTTAAATCATTTTGATAAATAACGTTATTTGTTAAGGAATTACAAAAATCTCAGCATTCTAATCAAAAAGGGGGGTGCAGAAAGTATTAACCATATTCTATTGACGTCCAAAGGCAACAATTCCCCGCTATTAAAATTTCGAAAGGCAAAATTGTTTGTTTCCGCCGCACCCTTATGTAGATGGATGCCTCTAAATTAGAAGCAAAAGTTGGAAACGCAATTCACTTGAATATGCTCTCTCAAAGCACTGCAGCGTTTTTCAAGTCAGTTTCACAGCGTCAAAAGAAGCTTCACTTTGGCTTACTAAGAACTCTGTTATTGGAATTTAGACCGCGTGGATTAAGGTTGGCCACCTTCTTGTTTCTTCGGCGGCCCATTTGATCGCAACCTAATTTCACTTTTCAAAATGAATTATGCCGGCGTAACGCTAGTTTCCAGAAAGATAAAAAAACTATATTTCATACGTGCGCCGGGAATATAAAGTTCGGTTTCGCAAGAGCTTATACTTTTGTACTTTTTTTATTAAATATGGTTGAAAACTCGCACTGCGCAGCATTGCCAGATACAATGCTACATTAGTTGCCTTTTTTAACCGACTTTCAAAAAAGGAGGAGGTTATCAGTTGGTCGGAATATTTTTATTTTTTATTTTTATTTATTTTTTTTTTACGTATGTATGTTACCGCATAACTGTGGACCATGTCAACGGATTTCCATAATTCTTTTTGCATCGGAAAGGTAGTGTCTCAGAGGTGTCCCATACTAATCTGGTTTAGATCCGATCATCAAATATATATATATATATCATATGAGAATTGAAGTCGGTTTTGTTTTTTGCTAAAAATACTTGTTATTTTGTTACCTCGGTAAGAGTCCGATTAGGAGTTTTTTATTTATGTATATAAAAAAGCATCTAATCCTCCCGAAGGACAGCTGCCAAGCAAGGTATTGTGTTATGGCCCCGATTCAATCTATATAAGGGCTATGTAAATATATGCACACAATATATACAAATACATAAATATTTGCTGGATATTCGAACAAAACCTGTGTGCCTATACGAATTTGATAGCCCTAGGGCGTATTCATATGTAAGTATGTATTTACATGCAATCATATGTATAATAAAAAATTAACGCTATCGTTCATTTTACGCTCTGAAGAAGAGCTTTAATTTTCGCGCATCAAAAACCGATCGCACATACCCATCCAAAAAACGTGAGCAATTGGCAAAACCACATTCAAGAAAGTAAAATTTTTGCAGCCATAAAATCGTTTAACTCATCTTTTTTTTAATAGCGGTTTATGAATTCTTTCGACGTGCCTTCGACTAATACATCTTGGCACGTACATATACTTTCAAGCACATTATATTACTTACTGTGTACGAGTTTGTAGTATTTGCAGCGCTGTGGAATGTTTTATTACACCGCCTTGCCGTTTTGAAAGCAATCAAACAAAATTTTGCCTAACGCGCTTCCACACACGCCACTCCACACAAACACATATGCCTGCATACATTTTTATATCTTTATATATTAATTCTTATCTTCTTATTTTCTGTTGTTTATTTACTTGCAGGAAAAAGACCAATATGGCAATGAAGTTCAACGTTTGGCGCGTCCTTTGCCAGTCGAATATTTGCTAGTGGATGTACCCGCCTCAACACCACTTCAGCCGCAATTCACATTCACTCAATACAAGAAACGTGGTGAACCATTCCCCGTGGAGAATCGTTACCTGGATGGACATTTGCAAGATTTTAGTGCGCTAAGCACGTATCTATCCCACTGGACGGATGAGGAGTTTCTCGAGGCAATTTCTGATTTTCATTTGTTGCTGTTTTTGTATAGAATGGACACGGTGCCATTGCGTACACACATGGGCCCACTGTTGGAGGCCGTACGCACCAAAAATACAGATTTGGCATACAGCTTTAAGGCTAGCGAACCATGGAAGCTGCTGGAGTCGCTAATACAAGCGAGCACTGGCGGTGTTAGCAGGTGAGTAGTACGGCGAGAGACGAGAGAGAGAGATACGAGAAACAGAGACACTTGACTATAAGCCGCACAGCACGTCGCATGTATCTGTCGTGGGTTTGATCTAAGCATGTTTCACTTAACTCATTTTATGTTTTTTTTTCGTTGTTGTTGTGCCATTAATTTCTTATTCCTACTTTTTCTTCTTTTCAGTGGTCCCTCTGCTAGCAACTACAGCTGTTGCGTCTACGCCAGCTCTCCGCGGCTGCTGCCGGTGCGAACAATCAATGGCAATGTAATCATTGCACCTTCATCAATCCTGGCGAATTGAGCTCGTGCGAGATGTGTTCGCTGCCCAGATAAGCGCACATTGCTCTGCGCCTGTTTACGCCGTCATTTGCCTCCTTGCTGCCTGCGCGGTGGTTGTCCTCGTGGGCAAAATCTGTCTGACTGGCTGGTGTTACATTCAGCTAAAGGCACATGGGTGTAGCAGAATTGTTGATTGGCATGATTTCATTACTTCATTTAAATTATAAACACAAAAAAAAAAAAATATAATAAAAAAGTAAAAAATTAAAATTTACAGCAAATAAGCATATGAAGAACATACCATGTACTGTAAACTTTTCGTAATATTCTCAGATCATTTCTATGTAATTTATTTAAAAAATAAATTTTAAATGTTGCGTAGTAGCTGAATGGTAATAATGGTTGGAAGATGCATACTCTCACACTCTATTTTATGTATGTACGTATGTATGTTAATTTAATAAAGGTTTGAGCGAATGCTGAGAATACATATTTAAAGTACTTTTTCCTTCATTTACTCATACATGCGACGTTTTTGTAAAAACTTTGGAGATTACCACAGCAGAAACAACAGAAATAGATACAATTGGATGTAATATCATTGCCGTCGTTTTGTGTAATTACACTGTCATACTACACACATATATATATGTTTTGCTAGAAATATAGATTCAATCAATAAATAAATTATTTATCTATCAAATTGACTTATTTTTACTCAGAAGTACACGACACAAATTTAGTGAAAGGTTAAAAAAGTACTAATTAACCTGCATGACCATTGGTTATTTTTTATACGTTATACCCAATTAGACTTGTCGACCGTCCTCCTTTAGGGAGGGCAGTCCTCCGTTGACACGATATGTCCTCCGTCCTCCTCAAAGAGTAAAAAGTCTCCCTCAAAAGTTACTTAAAGACTCCTTTTTTATCTTTTTTTTTTAGTATCACATTTTTAATTCTTTTGATATCAAAAACGTAAATTACAATTTACTTTCAAAAATAGCAGATACGAAAAGAAATCTGAAATTGAGTACAATTTAACTCATTTCGTCAAACTGCCACTAGAATATAATAATCAATGGTTCGGTTTTTCTGAAAGGAGAGTTGGTTAAAGAAAATTTTTTAAATTATCTTTAAATTCCGGATTTCGTGCTTTCAAAGAAATTGTAAATGCGCTTAACTTAAAGGATATTTTACAATATCATTACATATTTGTTTACACATTCCAATAGTGCATTTGCCGAGAGAGCTTTTTCGAACATTCAAAGTGCAATGTAAAACGAGTTAATAATAAATTTAAATGTGCCAGAGAACTGTGCACAGTTTTACACTGTTTTTAAAAACAACTAGTGAACCCGCATGGCGTTAAGACGCCAAATTAAATTTAACTTTCTAAACACGTGGAAACCCTAATCAAAAACCTTTATAAATATTACAAATGTTTCATCTTTAGCCTTCCATCTGTTTCCGAGTGAAAAGAGGTATCGGCTTTTCATGCCATCCAATTTCAAAATACCCTGTACCGCTAAAAAGTAATTCCACATCTACAGGTCCAGTTCTTTAATTCACAACGCATTTTTGCAATTCGAAATAACGGTGCAGATCTGATGACCCTCACAGAAAAGATCTGATAACATTCACAAAAAAGGTTTTTAGTGTGGTTTTAATTTAAGACCTTGCTGACGGTTTCGGACTCTACCTCACTAATAGCTTGCTTGATATTCACCTTAAAGGCCTGTATGCAGTTCTCAAGAAAAGCAAAAATTCCATACAAAATGGCGTAGAAGAAATGCCTAAAATATTTTCTTGTGTACAATTTTCTTGAGGCAGTATGCTATGCAGTACTTAAGAAATTCGCTGCGCTTTCCACTACAGTTTTCTTAAGTTTTTTGTGAAAAAAGAGCTCAATGCAAACCCATGCTTGCAACAGAAATATATGCCCGTTTCTGAAGTATCAGTTGTCAAAATTCCTTGGACACACACACGAACTAATGGCAATTTTTCTTGAGAGCTGCATACAGTCCATAAGGGCTTGAATCGCTCAAAGCTTCTTCGTATAATGTCGGTGCTTTACGACACACTACAAAAAAGTCTAGCGGCCTAAAGCGCAGCTGTGGGTGGCAATTCCTTTTGAAAAAATAAAATCTGTTTGCACATTACAGGCCAAGCTCTTTAATTTGACACCTCAAACGGTCCAGATTTTATATCCTGGACAAAAAATCCTTCCGGTATAATACTAGAAGCGATTAAATTGACGAAAAGCACGTAAAGTACTCATTTAAAAATTAAAAATTATGAACATACAGTCAGAGTCAAAAATATGAATACCCTGACGTTTTGACGATTTTCTTTATTTATATTTTTCATATTAAATTTTTCTTATTTAGAAAAAAAATATATAATTAGTTCAATAGCGAAAACCAGCGGAGTCAATTTTTTCATACAAATTTTCAACTTTCAATTGCATTTCTTAGCCCATTAAATTCTAGTATAATAAGGTGCAAGTTACAAGTCTCTAAAAGTTGCAGTTGATTTTAGATAATTTTTTCCTTGCTCAAGAGTGTTTCCCATTTTCTTCTATATAATGCATGACCAAAATATATTTTTATATTACCTACAAAAATGCATACCCAAAAATTTTTCTAAGAAGTGGAATTGAATAGTGGAAAATTTTAATGAGAATTTTTTGGTATTTCCTCGAGTTCTATATGAAATTGAAAAAATTGATTCTGCTGGTTTTTGCTATTGAACTAAGTATATTTTTAAAGAAAAAAATAAGAAAAATTTCATATGGAAAATATAAATAAAGGAATGTCAAGATATTCATATTTTTAACGCTGACTGTATATCAAAGATATACGATTTATGTTATGTACCTACCTTTTTTTGTCCCATTCATAGAGTGGCATACTTTTGATAAAACGCCTCTCCCCTAATTTTCTTAAGAAATGAAACGAATGCTTTGTCCTCTTGAAGCAAAGACAAAAGCTCTGTTTCGCTTCGTTCAATGTGAACACCAGCAGCTTCGATTTGTTCCAATTTGCTTCGCTCGGCGCCGTTCAACTTTCTGTAAGAACGCACCCTAAATCTTGCATAACCGGGCTTTTATTTCCTTTGGTAATTAATAACTTAATGTGAAAAACTACTCATACGGAGAGAAATTGGTTTCACTTTGCAGAAAACTCTCCAAAAATAAGCTTCAAAATCAATACTTTACCTTTGAAAAACTGACAACTTCAAAATCAAATTCACTCATTCATAAATTAATAAAAAAACTGTCTATGCCGTAGAAAATTAATAGTGAAGTGAATATTATAAATAGTGAATCTTTTTTTTACATTTTTACACAATTGTTCAGTTAAACAACTAATAAACAGCAAGAAATACTTTCGGTAAGTCGAGGTGCACACTTTAGTAATGCAAAATATTTTCTCCGAGTGTTTTGAATTTCTAATATTTAACCAATCGCATAGAACTGGCAATGCCGAATACCGGGTGAGAAAAGCTCAACGGGTAAAAGCTCTCAAATAAACAGCTGGTAGCAGCGGCTGTGCATTATTGGCACATACTTACATGCATTTAAACGTCACCAAAAGGGTGTATAGTACATAAGTATGTGTGTACAAGTGCTCGCTGGTGACGTTCAAAGATGCCCGTAAAGAAGCAAGCGCGATACATTTGCTTGGTGTGAGTGGGTGGTGATGAGAATTAGGCGCTCCAGAACCGCGATGAATCAGCGAAAGTGTGTGTAGGTACTTACGAGTACATGTGGGTGTGTGTATATCGCTGAATTTTTACTACCTTTGATGGAAGAATGTATAAGGAATGCATTGCTTTTCGTTCAGCGTTTTACGACTCACTTTTATGAGGTTCTGTCGTATTACCATTTCCTTTATTTTTATCGTTACTTGACGCCACAAATTTGGTGCTCTTACTGGGTGAATTATGGGTAGTTTGGCGGGAGGTTGTAAGCATTTTTTATTAAAGGATATTTGAAGGTCTTTTGTGTATACAAACAAATCGAAAACTGGTGCCTGCTGATTGTTTTGGATACATACATACATACATACGTACAAACAGCTACACTGCGCGGTTTAAGGAAGCCTACAAATTTCCTTTTAATTAAATTCCAAATATATTTACATACATATATGCATATTATGTGCCCGAAAACACAGCGTGTGATTAATCCAGTATTTCTGCACCGTCCAAAAGCTTTATTTAAGTACATCCATATATACATACATTAGGGTGCATCACCAGAAGCAGTTGCACTCTTCCACCGGAATTATAAAATCTTTTATATTTTAAGATTTTTGCCAAAATATTTCGTAAAATATTAAGATTAACGTGAAGTTAAAAAAATCTAACGTTTCAACTTTGTAAGTCATTTTAAACTGACAGTCGTCTATAAACTGCGCTGATTTATTAGAAAAAAAATATTTATAAAAGCTAATTTTATTTATTTATGTATTTTCAAATTGGCGTAGCTCACGTAAATCTTAATATTTTTCCGGATTAATTTGTCTTAAACTATAATACATTTTTATAATTCCGATGGAAAAATAATACCTACCTATTTTTATACCCGAGCGCACTTGTGCACAAAGGTATATTAATTTTGTTCACATAACGGTTGTTTGTAACAGCCAAAACGAATCGAGATAGATATAGACAAATGTATACATATATGCTCAGAATGAATAGATAAACCGATTAAGCCATGTCTGTCCGTCCGTCCGTCTGTCCGTCCGTCCGTGTACACGATAACTCGAGTAAAAATTGAGATATATCAACGAAATTTGGTATGTAGGTTTCTGTTAATCCAAGGTTGGTTGGTATTGAAAATGGGCGAAATCGGACAGTAACCACGCCCACTTCCCATATAACGGTAATTTCCAAAAATACGAAAACTGCGATATTTTAGTAACTATTGAAGATTATTCACTCAAAATTAATATTTACAACAATTTTTAGACGATAACTAAGAGTGTTATAAATTTTTGGAAAATGGGCGTAGCC